AGAGGTAAAACTTTCAAGTGGCTTCAGGCCCTGCATGTCTGACCTCACCAGAGTGTCCCCTTTGCCTTCCCTTCCAAAGCTCACAAACTTTATCTTTTCAAGAATTTTTTTTCCCTAGGGTTTATATTTGTTTCGATTAGAAGATATGTCTGTTGGAAATTAATCTTTCACTGTTGAAGTAGGAATTATACACTGGCTTTAAAAAGTGATTTCTGAAGCCTTGATACAGTTTGTAAAAGCATTTTGAACTGTTTTAATGTGATGTTTAAAAATGACTCATTTTTGTTACCACACATTTCTGAGATTCCTTACTTATATAGGATAGAGGCAAATGTTATAAAAAATGAGGGGTGAAAGCTTGGACTAGAAAATGAGATAAATTAATACAGAAGAAGAGTCATTTGGTCTAAATGAAGAGTCATGCTCCACAGAGGAATACGTCCATCTATATTTTTAGCTTTATATATTATAATCATATTTTCAGAAGTCGTTTTGTCAAATAACTTCTCTGTTTTGTAGCTACTGAGATTTCTTCAGCAGTTTTGTGCAGAAATGGCAATATAGATCAGTGAGAAAAGTCTGGATTATTATAGAAATTCAGTTGTAAAAGTTGACTCTAAGGGAACAAAATCAAAAAGATGCTTGTTTCTAATTACAAACAAAAGAAAATGAAAGAGAGTAAAGATAATATGCACACAAAGATAATTACCTTTTAGAAGAAAGTTTTGCCATCTCTGGATTAAATAGGATTCCTTAATTAGAATGTTGAAAATTGAAGGCATGAATCTTAAGGTTCGCAAATTTGACTGCATAAAAAGTTAAACCACTGTTTCAGCAAAAGTTTATATTGGTGAGAAAATATAATAGATAAGTTGAAGAGCATTAATTTGAATGGGCAAAATAGATCAGTTAAAATAAATATACTAGATTTATGTGTACACCATCAGTAGAACTGTGACACCTAATATTGAATAAACAATGTGCTACATTTATATGAACATTTTGACGTTGTTTATTTTATTTTATTTTAAGTGTAAAGCAAAGTCCCCTGGAAGTGAGAAAGATCCCTCACTATTAAGCAAAAGCTTCCTTTCGAAATGAAATCAATAAGAATAAGAAAGGTTGACCATATATTTGTAATGTTTTATTGTTTAAAATTAAATGGGTTAGTAGATTCCTATATTTTGGGCTATTATGGAGGCTGACACAGGAGGATTAAAAATCTGTGGCCTGCCTTAGCAAACAGGCAAAATAAAATTTTGAAAAGCTAGGTATGTGCCTCTGGTGAGGAGGGCTTGTGAGCATGCACAAGCCCGGGGTTCAGTCCTCTACACTGAAAAAATAACAGCAACAAGCAACAAGTAAATAAAAAATAACTATGGTAGCAAACATATTAACACATCTTGCTGTTTGGGAGTGGCATGCTTATATACTTAAAATATTTCTACATTCTCTGTAATCTTACAATATTTGGTAATATAAAATATTTGTGGAATAAAGCATATGCTAAAATCTTATCTGGTCTCAAAATAATTTTAATACAAAAAATCAGCAATAGATGCATAAAAATTTGTGTCTGAGCAAAATACCTTGGTGTGTTAGTGAATAAAGTACAGGAAAGCTGAAGAAACTTATACCTTGGAAGACTGTTATACCTCAGTGAAGGAAGGATTTCTCTTAGCAATACAAGCTTGCTTCAATATTGCCGTATAAATACACCATGATATAATGTATTTTTTTTACACACAAATTGTAAATGTCTCAGAAAAGGAAAAAGAACAGTTAATTAGCCAGTCATCCATGATGAATTTTAAAAAGAAGGAAGGAGAATAGAGAGAAGGAGAACAGGATGCAAAAATGAGATGCGTTATGCACATGTACTAACTGAACACAAGGAATGTATTCATCATCTACTGCAGACATGTATGATTAACAGAATACTTCAAAAAATAAGCTCTTGCAAGAAATTATGGAAGTATTCTGGTGTTTATAATGTTTTCATTATATTTGGGACAAAAATTATATTTAAATATTTAAAGAGATTGAGAACAATAAAACAAAAACCTCTGAATTTTTCAATATTAAAATGGGTTGTATCTATATTCTTTTTTTTTTTTTTTTGTATTTTAGGGAAGGGTCTACAGGGTGTTCAGGGTCTCACTACTAGAGTAGACTCATAGTGATCTGCCTATATTACGGCCTCCCAAGAGCTGGGATTACTGGCACATGCCACCATGCCCAGTCTCAATTGATACCTCAGTGCACCCTGGGGGTGGGGCCGGCACTGCAGGCCCTGGGGATCAAACCCCTGGACCCTGTGCCTGCTTGCAGGCAGTTTAATCCACTGAGCTATTTGGCTGACCCTGTGTCTATATTCTTCATGTAATATGACATATGTAGCTCAATCTAAAAGCCAGCATCATGCTTAATAGTAGAAATACAAAGCACTTTAAGCATGTTCATTAAAATGAAGAATTGAGGATAATATCCCGCTTGACAGTATTTACATTCCTTTATAGGAGTAATGAAATCAAATAAGAAAAAAGTTACAAATAGAAGAGGAAAAGAGAAGAGATCTTATTTATTTTTATTTTTATTCTCTTGTTTGGTACTGGAGAACAAACTCAAGACCTTGTGCTTGCCAGGCAGGTGCTCATGCTATTAAGCTGTCTCCTGGTTCCAGAGGAGATAACACTGGTGATAGTTTATGTGCCTGTATTCTTATAAATCACCCAAGATGGAATTAAAAAAAAAACTTTTGAAACAATAAGAACATTCTGGAAGTCTGTAAATGTAAAATACTGTTATATTCAAATTTTTAGCTTTTATGTACAAATTTTGGCAAACCTTAAAATATAATGCAAGAAATAACTTAAAACAACTAAAAATAAAGAATATAAAATAGTTAATGGAGAACTTTAAGTGTTAAAAACATCTTCCAGCAATAAAATAATTTTGTCTTTGGAAAGACTGATTTAATATATAAGATGCGATAATTTGCCTCTTCTAAGTTAACAGTTTATAATAGTGAGTTTCTGCTACTGGCTGACAGAACTGATAACTACAGACTGTTTTGGGTCCCAGAACTACCTGCAGGTTTAGAAAGAACATGGCATTCAAGTGCTGATACAGCTTTCCCACAGTTTATTCCTGCCTCATGCTGTGCTCTCCAGAAGTCCTGACTTCACTTACCTCAGCGTTTTCATGGCAGGCGGGTCTTCTGTGGGTCTTTCTGCCTCTGCCAACCACTGTAGCACAGGTGCTCACATGGAAGTCCGACAGACTCACTTGTCTTTTTAAAGTAGGGACACAAGGGCTGGCCAGACGGCTCAGCGGACTTAAGTGCCTGCTTAGTCAGGCCCAGAGACTGGGGTTCGATCCCGAGTATGCCATGCCAGCCGCACCCCCGGGGCACACTGAGACAGCCTCTAAGATTGGGCTTGGTGGTGCTCACCTGGAATCCCCGTACTTGGAAGGCTGAAAACAGGAGGATC